TGACAGCTAAGAACATGTGGATAGGCTGGACGATGACTGAAGAAGCCATGCATGGCTATGGGTTTACAGAGAATGCAGTCACAGAGGAGAGGAGAGGGATGGAGTTGTCCTGGAGGTGACAAAATCACAGTCACTGCTTTTTACTTGTTTTATTTCTAATACAGGGCTCTGTGCTTTATGTTCCTCTTGCCTGCTACAGAAGTGCCAACATATTTTTTTAACCTTGTATATAATGGAATAGATAAAAACAGCAATTGGAAAGCTTCATAAAATTTTACCTTTATTTATTTATTTATTATTAATTTCTTTATTGATTAAGATATCACATATTTGTCCTCAACCCCCCATTCCAGTCTCCCACCCTCCCACTCATGTTTCCACCCCCCTATTGTCCTTGAGCACTGGTTAGCGTCATATGAGTGCACATAAGTCCTTTGGTTGATCTCTCCCTTTTATCCCCACCCTCCCTTTGAGGTCCAACAGTCTGACCCATGGCTCCTTATCTCTGGGTCTGTTCTTGTTCATCAGTCTATGTTGTTCACCATTTCCCCTAGATAAGTGAGATCATGTCCTCCTGGAAATATACTTATAAGAATAAAAAATCTGACAAACAATAATTGTTATGCTGAAAGGCATATGAATCAGTCTGTAGTGAGCTTCTTTCTGGGAAATTTTTACTTTTAGAAAAGGTGGGCATTTCTCTCAATGTGTTCTCGGTAGGAGTATTGACTGAGAAGTTATAAGAATATAAACCAATGAACAAACTCTCTGAGACAGAGAGGGAGAAATGAGTGCCACACCTGGAGTGAAGGAAAGGGAGGAAAGGAAAAGATGAACCAACCAAGCAAGGTACTTGCTCCTCATAACCCAGTTGGTAGCCAAGACCAGCAATTCATGAAGTATCTAACTAACAGGGTGTCCCCTGACCTCCCTCCCCCCAGAGACCTCAACTGACCCCTGGTCTATTTCAAACAGGAGATCTCCAGCTCGCATGCTATCCTTTAGACTCTCAGTACCAGGAAAGACAGAGAAGGTGCATGTCAGAGACAGATGGCTAATGGATGAGAGGACCAGTTCAGCCTCTACTGGTGCTGAGGAACCAACAGCCCCCAGTTCTTTCTTTCCTCACTGTATGCAGAGCAGTGGAAAACCCTAAAAGTGAGTTTTGAAGTATCTCAAAAGGTCCAAGAACTGACCACTTGTCCATCCCTGCAATCAATGCTAGGGTATTATGGAGAATATGACAGGCTCCCTGTCCTCCAGGGAAAGAAGATAGATACAGGAATGGACACATCATCATTATTCAATGAGTCAAGAGATGTAGGAGAAAAGTAGGAGATGACAGGTGTCCAGAGAAGATAAAATCTATCCTTGAGGCCATAAAACACGACCTAACAGAGCTATCTTCAGGTGGCTTCACTAATTTCCAATTTTTTCATCAAGGAAATGTTTACCCAAGAGCATTTATAGCTGACAAAAGAGAGTTTTGGTACTGTTTTGCAAGTTTGTTTTCTTTTTACAGAATTATTCCTTCTTTCCTGGAAAGCTATCCTTCCTCCCCACTCCTCATCTGTCTTGCCTCCTTCAAATGACCCAGGATGTGCTCATCCAACTTCTTTCCTGGAACTTTCCAAATTAAGCCTGAGAGAGAATGATATACTTTCTGTGGTGATAAGGTCATAGAGTAAGAGGTTGGGAGAACTGAAGGACTTATTGGCAGAGAGAGACCAAAATCGACACACAGAGAAGCACAGAAAGATAGATAGAAGGCGAAGTCCTGATAGCTCTGAGGCCCAGACCCTAGTGCCTCTGGGGCCTAGCAGCACCACTCCTATTCATTATATGTGACATGCCACAGCATTTTTTCCAATCAAGTCTTCTTACTGAAAGTAGGCCAATTTCTATCACTTGCAATCAAGAGAAATGAGTAGCAGCCCACATTAGCAGTAATTCTGGACATTTTCTCCTCTCAGCCTCCCCCTTTCTTTTTTTATTTAAAAATATGTATTTTTATTTTTTAAAATATATTATTATTGATTTCAGAAAGGAAGAGGAGAGAGAGAGAGAGAGAGAGAGAGAGAGAGAGAGAGAGAGAGAGAGAGAGAGGAACATCAATGATGAGAGACAATCATTGATCGGCTGCCTCCTGCACACCCCATACTGGGGATTAAGCCTGCAACCAGGGCATGTGCCCAGGCTGAGAATCAAGCCATGACCTCATGGTTCATAGGTTTAAGCTAGACCACTGAGCCATGCTGGCCAGGCTCAGCCTCCCCTTTTCCAAGAAGAGTCAGGCCAACCTCAATGTTTCCAGTTTCTCCTTGTTCTGTCAAGTCACATTTGAAAATTTGGCCCATATTCTAGCATGACCATCAGCTGCAGCTCTAGTTGCTCCACATGTAGATTTCAAAAAACCAGCTTAAATTTCAAAGTAAGTTAAAAACCTGCCTACTGAGGGCCCTCACCAGAGATTCCAATTGATTGGGTCAAGGGTGGAGCCTAGGAATCTACAGCTTTAAAAACAACAACTCCTGGTGGATTCCTTTAGGCAATCAGGTGGACGCATCAGTAGGCCAGAGGACCCATGAGAACCCATCAACTTGAGGAGCACATCAGGAACCTAGACACAGTGTAAATTGACTCTTTGGTCCCTCCACAAGCTTTGAGTGCTACATAGCCTGGTATATCGCAAAGAAAGCGGAATGTGTGGCGGCCTGGAAGTTTGTCATGGAAGTTCCAGGCTGCTCAGAGAACTCTCCTGAAGGGGCTTGAAATGACCTCATCATAAAAGGTGGCAGGAGTTTCAGGGGCAGCCTGGCCCCTTACACAAAGTGCCATTGATTGAACTTCATACTGGAGACTGATGGGAATTTATTTTTTTCAAGGTCTAGCATTACATCACCAGTCTTTGTAACCTTTCTTACAAAGTGTCTTTTCAATGCAGGTATCCTCAAAAAAAGCTGGGCATAACCAACCCAGTGGCTACAGCAAAGTTGAAATACAGCGGAGCAATTTAAAAAAAAAAAAAATTCAACAAGCAATGTCACCTTTGGAGCAGTAAAAGTTCTCTCCTTGCCTGGCTAGGGTAGGTCAATGCTTAGTGGTTGAGCATTGACCTATGAACTAGTAGGTCGTGGTAAATTCCAGTCAGGGCACATGTCTGGGTTTCAGTCTGGATTCTCAGGAGGGGGCATGCAGGAGGTAGCCGATCAATGATTCTTTCTCTTTGTTGATGTTTCTCTCTCTCTCTCTCTCTCTCTCTCTCTCTTTCTCTCTCTCCATTCCTCTCTGAAATCAATAAAAGTATTTTTTTTACTTAAAATATATTTTTATTGATTTCAGAAAGGAAAGGAGAGGGAGAGAGAGATAGAAACATCAATGGTGAGAGTGACTCATTGATTAGCTGCCTCCTGCACACCCCCTCTCCCCACACTGGGGATTCATCCAGCAACCTGAGCATGTGCCCTTGACCAGAATCAAACTCAGGACCCTTTAGTCCACAGGCTCCATCCACTGAACCAAATCAGCTAAGGCAATATATATATTTAAAGTGCTATCCTTCTCATGAGAGATGACCAGTGTTCAGAGCAGCCACATCCTGAAAGTGGATGCCAGGTGGAAGAGAGATTTGATTCACTAAATAAAGAAAACACCTTCCACATTCCTTCCTTGATTGTAGGGATTGACAGTGGCTGAGCTGAACCTGCCTATAAACTTGTAGCTGAAACTGGTTTGGCTCAGTGGATAGAGTGTTGGCCTGAGGACTGAGCGGTCCCAGGTTCAATTATGGTCAAGGGCATGTACCTTGGTTTCGGGAACATCCCCAGTGAGGGGTGTGTAGGAGGCAGCTGATCGATGTTTCTCTTTCATCAATGTTTCTATCTTTCTCCCTTTCTCTCTGTAAAAAAAAAAAAAAAAAAAAAAAAAAAATTATATATATATATATATATATATATATATATATATATATTAATCTCTTGTATTTTGAGATGGGCTATTAGGCATCAGCCATGATCTAACAGGTGTTTCAAGGTTTTTATCCACCAGGCAGAACGTTTGTATTTATATCAAGCTCTTGTGTTCTTATTTTATCATGTCTTGCTTCTATTCCTATAAAAACTTAGGAACTGGAGGTTTGGGAATCAGTGGGGTTTGGAATGAGTAGTCAATGAACTTTGCCATTCTGCCAATAGCATCCCCTATCCAATCACTGCTGACCTATTTTATTTTATTTTATTTTATTTTATTTTATTTTATTTTATTTTATTTTATTTTATTTTATTTTATTTTATTTTATTTTATTTTATTTTATTTTATTTTTCTGGGGTTTCCCCCATTTTGTCTTTCTTCTCTTTCTCTTTTTTTTCCCCCTCTCCCTGCCCCTCTCCCACAACACATTCAGAGAGTGTCCTAAAGGGTGACAGACTTGCTCATGCTTCCCTTATGACTAAATCCCTGGGCCTCTGGCCAAGCCCCCACAGATGGCCCCAAACTTCAGGAGAGTCTCACGTTCTCCCTTCAGGAGAGCCCCACGTTTGCAGCCCAGCCCGGGCCGCCAGGACAGAGATGTGGTGGTGTCTTATTCCTGGGGGAAGGCAGAGCAGCTTCCAGGAGGAAACGGGCGTTTCCTTCCCACACGCTCGGGGAGCCCTGGGTCCCGGCCTGGGGACTCCACCCAGCCCCTCCCTTCGCTCTGGGACGAGCCAGTCGCCACACACAGGCACTTGCAGGCCCTGGTGCCACGCCCTAAGGAGAGCAGCACCCAAGGCCAATTGCCATGGCAACCCTGGGGTTCATTCCATTCCCCACCCAGCGGATCCCCCCCTCCTCCCTGCGCTGCAGCCAACCGGCTTGTGCGTGTCCGGGGAGCGCACTATAAAACCTGCGCTGGTGGCGCTGGGGAAGGAAGGCGATCTCGGGACCTGGAGGGAAGGGAGCAGAGCCAATCCAAAGCGTGGAAAGTCTCTGCTTTGCAGAAGCGGGAGGAAAAAAGCCTGAGCATGCAGAGTGCGCAAAGCATGAGCCCCAGTCTGCCCACGCAGTGCCTCTGCCTGGCTCTCCTGCTCCTCCATCTCTTGGGACAGGTAAGTGGCGCACCCTTTAGGTGTCCCTGGTTAACTTTGCCTTCCCTGGCGGCCCGCTGGGACACTCTGCCTCATTGATGATCCTGCTGAGAGGTTCCTCCTTCTTTCCTCGCTGTGGCCCCCAGGTCGCTACGACTCCACGCTGCCCAAACCCGTGCCCGGCCCGGTGCCCCCAGACGCCGCCGACCTGCGCCCCCGGGGTGAGAGCGGTGCTGGACGACTGCTCCTGCTGCCTGGTGTGTGCCCGCCAGCGTGGCGACAGCTGCTCGGAGCTGGAGCCCTGCGAAGAGAGCCGGGGCCTCTTCTGTGACCGCAGAGCGGACCCCAGCGCCCAGACTGGAATCTGCATGGGTAATCCTGCCCCCTCCACCCCGGACCTTTCTCTCTGAGGCTAGCTGGGGCTGCCCTCTCTTTCCTATCCCTCCCCCTTCCCAGAAAGGGATGCGCAAATAATCACAGGCAGGAGGATGCTATGGGTGATGTGTATGGAGCGCTTACTGTGTCCCAGGCATGGGCTGGGGGTGACTGGGGTTTTGGGGAGCGCCCGAAGCCAGAGGTGAGCAGCATTCAATCACTTGCCTCCCTAGAGAAGAATCAGATGGATGGGGAGCAGAGCAGAGTTAAGGGCCAGTGAAGTCATTTTCTTTGGAGATGTCCAGGGGGACGCTTAGGGGTGATGGACTCAGGGCTCACTCTCTAGCTTCCAGCTCCCCCAATGCAGTCCAGCAGGTTTGTTTTCACACCTGTAATTGTCCTATTTGAGCCAAAGCCCCCCTCCCTCTAGTCTCCTGAGAAGACTATGTAACCCCTCTCCTGGGCTGTGAATAACAAAGGCAGGTGGCCAGCCAGTGCAGGCTGTGAAACTTAATTAGTTGGGCATCAGTTTTCCACGTGGTGCACCATCTAGTTGGAGGCTGGCCCTGCCTCCCTGGATTAGAGGCTTGGAATAGCCCGGAGCTCATAATAATTTTTTTTTTTTTTTTTTTTTTTTTTTTTTTTTTTTTTTTTTGCGTGTGTGTGCTGGAATGCCAAGGAATTCTAACTCTCTGCCCAATGTGACCAGTTAACCTATTTGGAAAACATGAGTGCTTTTTTCTTCTTCATCTTCCTTCTCTTTTTAATTCTAAGCTGCTGGATAAGAAGAATCTAAGGAGTTTCTTGCAGAATAACTTTAGCATTGAAAACATGGCTATGGGACCTTGGGAGGGTCATTTCTCAGCTGTACACCTCTTTCTGCATCCATAAAATGAGTGGCAGGGCTGGGTGGCCTTGAAGGCTCTTTCTTGCTCAGAGAGCCCTTTGTGAGGATAGCTCTCTAATGGAGGTGGGTAAAAAATCAAACAAACAAACAAAACAAAACAAAACAAAATAGACTCTTTCAACAAGACAATACACTTGGGCTTTGGAACACGTGCCGCAAATCTTATGTGATGCCCTCAAGACATTGTGATTTTGTTTTTCTCTCTCCCCTTCCCTCTCTGCTCTCCTCCCCACTATTCTAGCCATAGAGGGAGATAACTGTGTGTTCGACGGGGTCATTTACCAAAGTGGAGAAACCTTCCAGCCCAGCTGCAAATACCAGTGCACCTGCCAAGATGGGCAGATTGGCTGTGTGCCTCGCTGTGACGAGGACCTGCTACTACCCCAACCTGACTGCCCGGTTCCAAGAAAAGTTGAAGTGCCCGGGGAGTGCTGTGAAAAGTGGATCTGTGACGCAAATGACACGGAGGCATTAGGCGACCTGCACGCCCTTCCCGGTGAGAAACTTGGGCTACCCGAAGGTGCTTACAGCGCAGGATATAGGTGGGCAGGAGCACGCGTGTCCTTTGGGATTTGCAATGAGAAACTGGTCTCCTTTTCTGGCCATTGAGCTGTGGATTCCAGATTTCCCACTGAGACCAACGCACCATGGGTTGGAGTCCTAGCCAAGTATGCAGTTTCCTCTAAAGAGAACCTGCTCGATTCAGTGGTTCTTTCCAGGAGTGGGACTGATTTGGTCTTATTGCATGACTACTGTGTATATTTTAGTCCATCCTACTTGACCTTTATTCACATTACAACAATACAAGTAAAAAACAAACAACAAAAAAAAAACCTCACTCCCTTTTGTGGATTCTGCACACTCGCTGTGCATTCTCAGAACCAGCCTCTCTAAAGAATGCTACTCATCACTGGACAGGTGTCACAGAGAAATGTCACCTTTCCAGATGCTGCAGGAAAGGTCAAGTGACACTTCAGGATCTTGGCTTTGCTTTGCTTTGCTTTTTGTTTCATCTTATAAAGGAAATAGTTTCGGATAAGAAGAGAAACTCAAGAGCCAGTAAAGAATATTTTAGAAGCCATTCATCAGCCAGATTATATCTACTAGTGGTATGCAGACATTAGCCATGCTTTACAGACAGTTCTGCCAAGTAAAAGAGAAATGTGTCCCAAGACATGATATGAAGTGTTGAGAAAGAAATTTTCATAATCAAAATCTAAGTGTCTATATTCCATAATCCAAATCACCAGTTCCACCTCTCGAAGGCAAAGTATTGCTTTCATCACTATTTTAAGTTGGTTGGTTCTATTTACTCATTCAATTAAAATTTTAGCATGATCATTTTTCTGTAAGAAATCACATATTGAAACACTGTAATATATGGGATGGTCCTTGATGCTAAACTGTTCTATATTCTTAAAATTTCTAAGTTTCTTTGTTGTTGTCGTCTTTTTAATCTTCACTAAAGGATATTTTTTATTGATTTTTAGAGAGAGAAGGGAGAGAGGGAGATGTGAGAAAGAAACATGGATCAGTTGCCTGCTGAACACACCCTGATCAGGGATCAAACCCACAACCTGTATATGCACCCTCACCGGAATCGAACTAGCAAACTTTTGGTGTACAGGAAGATGCTCCAACCAATGGAGCCACCCACTGAGCCTTAAAGACAAGTTAACAGTCATTCCACAAAGATTCCCTAAATGCCTACAATGTGCCAGGCATCGTGCAATCTATTGGGGGTTTATAAATAGAGTAATCCATTCTGTCCCTGAAAACACCTGAGTTTTAGGAGGCACAGAATTGGCTGAGACCTTCTATCTGATGACGATGGACAGAACCACATTGTGATCCTCACGTTTTACTCTGCCTGGTTGTCCTTTTTTTTGTATTTCTCATAGCCTACAGGACAGAAACCACTCTAGGAGTTGCAGTCTCTGACTCGAGTATCAACTGCATTGAACAGACTACAGAGTGGAGCGCATGTTCCAAGAGCTGTGGCATGGGCTTCTCCACCCAGGTCACCAACAGGAATCCGCAATGCGAGATGGTGAAGCGGACTCGGCTCTGCATGGTGCGGCCCTGTGACCAGGAGCACAGGCAGCCCACAGATAAGGTAGGTGGCGGCCTGGCCTTATTGGAGTCCAGGCTTTAGGAAAATCACTGTGACACTCGATGACTAGAGGTCAGCTCTAGCGGGGAGTTAACTCCAGAGAAAAGGCAGAGAAGTGAGTGAGTTTACCTTCTTTTGTTTTTTCTCTTTAATGTATTGAAATATCCCAGGCAGCTCACAGCCCGCATACAGGTAAAGAAGTACGAGCTGGACAATTATCATAATGTCCCCAATTGAGGGTATGGCGAAGCTCATTCCATTTCTGGAAAAGACTAGCTACTCAGTTGCCAAGGGAAACTGATTTTAGAGAGGGCATTTCACCCCTTGAGTTCAATCAACAGAGTAGGAATTATAGCTGCCTTATTCACCACCCCATTCCCAGCATTCTGCCGGGTCCATAGTGTGTGCCTGATAAAACATTGTTGATGAAGAAATGAATGGCTGTCTGGGAATTATTTTCAGTATTTTAAAAAGCTTAGTGGAACTAGTATATTTGCCAACATAAGGCTATATATGCCAAATAAAATAGCACATTTCTTTCCTTTTTTGCTGGTACTATATCAACTCAGTTAAGGCTGAGTACAAGGCATGCAGATCAGAAGCTTGGATTGCTTTCGGATGACCTCACAGTTCTTGTTACCAGAACCCTAGATACATACACTACCCCAAAATTAAATTATTATATGGGCCCTTGGACAAACCTTAGGCCAAAATAAAATAGTTTCTAGCAATGAAAGACTTACATATCTCTGGAGTCAGCTAGCCTGGCTTTAAATCTTGGCTTCCCACACGAACTAGCCGTGGGATCTTGGGCAATTTTCTTAACTTCTAAGCCTCCATTCCTTTCCCCATATAATAGGGTCACTGACAGTACTTACCTCAAAGGTATCATGAGGATTAAATAGAATGAATTAGCAAAGCTCTGGGCATAGATTATTCTGTTAACATTAGGCATCATTACTTAAAAATTTCTATGTATTGCTAAAATAAGAGTCTCTAGTAGTTGCACTCACTATATAGCTGCTGAGCTATTTGACTTTTTGAGGCCCATCCTTACTTTGTTTCTTTCATCAATTTGGAAATGACATTTAGAGATACCTTATCCCTAAAATTATATGCATGTTCCTACACATAAGGAAATTCTAACATACATGCAACATGGTCATGCAGGTTCACCCACAAAGCAGTCTCTATTTGTTTCTCTCTCTCACTCTCTCTCTCTCTCTTACACACACATTTACATACAGTCCTTGTTACCAAAACCCTACATACATGAAATACCCCAAAATTAAATTATTGCTGTCCTTGTATTTTTTGTGGTTGATGGTAAGAATATATGCCAAATATTAAATATAAAAAAGAAACAAGAAACCCTTAAGTATTGTCAGACACACTAACTTCTTTATTAAATAATGTTTTATCATCTCATGCTATTGACTGCTTCTTTAACCAAAATTTATGTTTTCTTGCACTAAGTTTAATATTGGGATTTGTTATATTCAACATATTTTATGGTAAATATATTTCTTAAAGGTCCTAGGAATGTATCCAGAATTTAGGAAAATACTAGCATCATAATTGTTACTTTCTTATTGAGAGATTCTTAAATGGGAAATAGTGCTTCTCCAAGTGTGGCCCTCAAATCAGCAACAGCATCTAAGAACTTGTTAGAAAGCAAATTATTGGGGTCCCCCATCAGACCTACTGAGTCAGAAACTCTGGGTGTAAGACCCAAGAATCTGTGTTTTCGCAAAACCTCCTGATGACTTTGATGGACACGGAAGTGTTGAGAGCCACTGATTTCATAGAATTCCAAGTCTCATCACTCCACAATCTGCAAGCTGTGCCCAGGAAGGTTAAGAGCAGCAGAGAACTGTGGCAAATTAGTAAGAAATCTGAGTAGGAAATAAACATATTGTCAATTCTTTGCCAAAGTATCAATATGAGGATTCTTCATCAACCATTACTAATGGAATATTCAATAAATTCTCTACTCAATTTGCCTTCATGGAAAATAGCCGTATGGTAGAAGAAATGGGGATTGCATCAGACAAGTCCAATTACTAGATGTTTTCTGATCACTTTAGCTCTTTAAGATTTTATTTATTATCTGTAAAACTTGGGCAATTGTTCTTTACATTAACAACTATTCCTTATATGAATAAATGTTGTTGATAAGGTTAACATGAGTTAACGTTTGCAAAATGTTTGAAACATTAATGGACTTTTAATGATGCCAAATTTATTCTCTTTTGCTTTATAACACCTAAGAATGCACTTAGCTATAGCAACACCAAATCCTGTTATAGTGGCTTGATAATATAGGCTTCTTTATCATATATAAAGAAGCCTATATTATCAAGCTACTATGCTTTTACTCTTAGTTTACCACCAAGGTCAAAAGACAACTGTGCAAAATGGGGCACAGTTTCCACATTCTAGGTAGGAAGGAAAATGAACACAGGAAGCAATGAAGAACTGCATCTTTGTCTGGAGGGCAAAGAATTTCCCAGAATCCCATGGCGTGTGTATCATTGGCCAGAACTTTGTCACAAGGCCATCCTAAGCTCCCAGATATTCTGGGAAAGCACTCTTAGCTGACCACATTGCCCGCACAAAATTAATGTCCTGTTAGCAAAGAATAAAGAGCAATGGATATTGGGCAGGCAACTAGCAAGCTAATCCATACCTCTAAAATGGTCCTGGGAGGAAGTCACCATCCATGCATCACTCCCTTTCTTCTTTCTCAGAAAGGAAAAAAGTGTCTGCGCACCACGAAGTCCCTCAAAGCCATCCACCTGCAGTTCAAGAACTGCACCAGCCTGCATACCTACAAGCCCAGGTACTGCGGAGTCTGCAGCGATGGCCGGTGCTGCACCCCTCACAACACCAAAACCATCCAGGTGGAGTTCCAGTGCTCCCCTGGGCAGGTCATCAAGAAGCCAGTGATGGTCATTGGGACCTGCACCTGTCACAACAACTGTCCTCACAACAACGAGGCTTTCCTCCAAGAGCTAAAGCCGAGCACCAGCAAAGGGAAAATGTAACCCGGGTCCCTGGAGAAGCCCATCTACAGAGGCAGACCTTAGCTATTGCGTGACCCATCTTCAAAAGAATACAAGAAAAATCGAGAGAATTATGATTTCATGCCCTGAGTCCTATGTATTTTCTGTGGTCCTATAAGGTCAGTTCTAGCTGTCTTTTTTTTTTTTTTTAATGGAAAATATGATTAACTGTAAACTTGGAATCAAGGAAAACTCAGGATAGTGCTTAGGAATGACTTACTGTTCTATGGTGTTACTTCGAATGAAAATGTCTATAAATTTAAGAAATCAGATATAGATTTGACTGTGTAAACTACATCACATCACACTCATCTTCTTTTGTTATATATTAGTGTAATTTCAAGAAAATGTTCCTGTCAGGAATGACACAGGGAAGCCCGGCATCATACTGACCATGTCTTCATATAATTATTTCACCATATTTTGAGGTTTGACTGGAGGGGTCTCACTGAGCTCTTTTTGTGTAGCTCGGCTCTGAATTTCCAAGTCCGAGAACCAGGAAATACAGAGCTCTTCAACTTGAAATCCAGAGTCTATTAGTTTTGTGTTTAGTTGTAAACTAGGAAACGACCTGTATCTACAGTAATACAATGTTACAGTTAGTTAGATGGACTGGTATCATAAACTTGCTCCATGTCAGACAAATTGACTCCTTTCCAATAGAAAGAAGCTGAACAGAAAACTCTCCCTAATACAGATGATGTATTACATTTGTATATGCTGCAGGCTTCTGGGGCCCATAGTGTTTTCATTCAGAAGAAGCAGAGCCTGTCAGCAGAGATCCTCTCATCTCACTGATGAGGAAACTGAGGCCCAAAGCACCTGATTACAACCTTGGATGACATTCAAATGTGCTTGTAGTGAAATTTTAAACAGAAGAACAAAACCGACATAAGTGGGATGGTACAGGAACACATATTTTATGGGAGTTTAGAATTTATTGAAGACCTGCCCATAACTTATCCTTGGACCCTACTTATGCAAACTCACAAATAAGATATCGGTGCAGACGTGTGTGCATCTAAGTTGCCAGGCTATAAGATAGACTGCAAACTTAAATGCATACATTCGCCTAATGTCACCAAATGTGTTCAACTTTTCTCCTTAAAAGTATTTATATAAATATAAATTATACATTTTTAAAATATTCTTTTTACTTTCTCTACTTGTCAGATAGCACTAAATAAACATGATCTTATCAATGTGTGACTTTGCTATTACTTTGTGTTTATAAGTTGTTTATTAGAAATATAAACAACATTAAAATATACACATTAAATCAGATACCAAGCACTGAAAACAAAGTGGATATATTCAGATGAGATGACAACTTCTCACCATGAGGGAAATGAAGGATACCTCTTCCTGAGTTAGGTGTTCTCTACTGCCCAGGCCTCCAATATTCTCCACAATGTTTGCCCAAACCAACAACTCGGGTACTGATATTTTCTTCTAGAAAACCTGCTATATATTAAAAATTGAACTTCTTGCCCTGGTGGGTGTGGTTCAATTAGTTAAGCATTATCCCATGCATCAAGAGGTCACCAGTTCAATTCTCTATCAGAATGCCTGGGTTGTGGCCTCAATCCCCAGTAGGGGGTGTGTAGGAGGTATCCAATCCATGTTACTTTCTCACATCAGTGTTTCTCTCGCTCTCCTTTTCTCACCAAAATCAATAATATTAAAAAAAAAAAAAACATTAAAAATTTGAACGTTTTGTTGGACCAATCAAAACTTACCTTGTCTGGCTTCTTTCATTCAGTTAAATGCTCCCATTTACGCAGCTTAGATTACCAGCATTATTTGATCAGTCTCCTCTTGCTGTGTGGCCAAAAAAGCATATTTCCAGGGGTGATGCAGATCAGCAAGGTGAACAGGGCTGTGTAAGAGTCAGAGGTAGTATAAGCTTTATGTTTTACAGTTTATAGCTGATGTTGTGGGTGTATACTTATTCTTCCATAATTTGAAAAAAGTTTTCCTCTTCCCCTATCTCAGCTTCCTTCCCACACATCTCTTTAGCTTGTTTCTTTGTCCTTTAAGACAGTTTGGAAAGCCAATTGGAATTCACAGAAAGTTATCAAGAGGAGCTAATACAAATGGCATTCTTTGTGCTGAGAACTTGACCTTCATTATTTATATTGTTTATTTGGCACAAAGTCTTATGAAGTAGGTTCTCCTCCCCACATTACAGATGAGAAAGCTTTGTAAAGTTTAAAAATAAATGGTTAAAAGAAACTGGTAGATCTAGGACCCAGATCAATTTACTTTGGCTTAATTAAGCTACCACATGGATTCATACAAATATTATATTATCTCTCTGCAAGGCTGTTCAGTACTGTCAGTAATGGCAAAATGGAAACTTTCCCAGTGCAGCATATAGGTTGGCTAGATAAATTCTAGTACATCTATTATGATGAAGAAGAAAGCAACATTTAAAATAAAAATGTCAGAAAATCTTTCCCCTCAAAAAGGTAAGAGTTATGAAAAGAGTGATTTGGTTTTGTTCAAAAATATCTGTGAGCATGAATGAAAAGAAGTGCAACAAAATATTATTTGTGATTATATCAAGTTGACCTTATTTCTTTTTGTGTGTGTGTGATTTTTTTTTTACTAACTTTGAAACAAAGAATATATTACCTTTATAACCAGAGGGGAAAGTAAGGCTAACTTCACAAATTCCTTTAAGCACAGGTCTCCTTAAACTTCTACTCATGCTAAATTGGCTGCCCTTTCCAGCATCCAAAACATTTATTAATTCATTCATTTTGTTCATTCAAAACACGCTTAATGACAGCCCCTGTCTTCCTAGTATTGTTTTAGGACCTAAGAATATAGTCATCACACACAAACACACACACACACACACACATACACACACACACACATACACACACACACTAAAATCAATGTCACCATTTACACTGTTGGCAAAGGTAGGCAAAAAGCAGTAAGCAAAAAAATCAAATAAAATAAATATCAAATAACAATAAATAAACTCTAGAAGGATCACAAAAACAGGGCAATCTAATAGAGAATATCTGGGTAACTAATTTAACTCACGGTGGTCAAGAAGATTCTTTCTGAAGAGGCAACACTTCATCTTGGATCTGAAAGATCACAAGAGAATCTTCCAGGAAGAGGTAACAGTTAGTGGAAAAAAATGTCAACTATAAGTTTGTAGCTTTGTTAAAGATCTGTGTGCTGAAGCCTTATATGAGAGGTGGTGAAAAAGGGTTCAAACAGATAGGTCTTGCTTTTATATTGTATTTCTCACACTATTTTAGAATTTATTCTTTTTTTTTTTTTTAGATTTTTAAATTGATTTTTAGACAGAGAGAATGGGAGAGGGAGAGAGAGAAAAACATAGATGTGAGAGTGAAACATCCAATCTGCTGCCTCCCCCACGAGGGATTGAACCTGCAACCTCTTACTGGTCAGCACTAAATCCAAGTGCACTAAGCATCTTGAGGCCAATATTCTGGCCTTCTTTGTATCTGTCACAGTATGTGACACACAGTAGGACTCCACTGTATACCTGTTGAATGGATGAATACATGAATAAAGGGAAGAATGAATGGATTGTGCATTAACAAAACACAAAATATCCTTTGAAATAAATGTTAAGCTTTGAAATTATCATTTTCATTAGCATTATCACTGTGATTTTCATTATCACTATCACTTGTAGAGCAATCTCCACTCTTTAACACACACACACACACACACACTCCTGAAACTGTCATTAAAGATGGTTGAAAAATATTATCTGATCTACCAATATTTGCTAAGTCCAGAATGTCCTAGTAATACAGCAAGGATAACAACATTTGCTGAGTAGAGGTTAGAGCTGCAGAACGAGCTTTTCAATCTTGGGTTTGAGTAGAAGGCCTATTCTTTCCCAACTGTGAGATACTGGGCAATTTACACACAATCTCTCGCCTGTAAAATGAGACTATAATATTAAAAGAGTGACCAACTGTCCTCCCTAGTTTGTCCTAGTCTGAGAGTTTCCCTGGGACTCAGGAATTTCAGTTGTAAAATCAGGATAGTTCCAGGCAACCAGAGGCAAGTTGGTCACTTTAAGAATCAACCACAGCCTAGCTTGTGTGGCTCAGTGGTTGAGTTGTTGACCTATGAACCAGAAGATCACAATTCCATTCCCAGTCTGGGTTGTGGACTCAATTCTCAGGAGAGGGTGTGCAGGACGCAGCCAGTAAATGATTCTCTCTCATCATTGATGTTTCTATCTCTCTCTGTCTCTCCCTTCTTCTCTGAAAGCAATAAAAATATTTTTTTAAAGAATCAACCACATAGTATTGTGAATTAATATATATTCATAAGCACTTGACTATGCTAGGCACATACGAGGCCTGCAGATGACAGATATTAATATAATAAGAATCCAGTAGGGCCAAGCAATGCCTGTTCTTCTATGCATGTCATGCTCAGAGGCAGACAATATTATTAACCTCATTTTTTACAGGAAAAGGCGAAGAGGCTAAAAAACTCTGATGACCTATTAAGGACACAGTGAATGAAGGAGCTGGGATTCAAACCCAGGGTTTGCCTGAGCCCAGAGCCAAGGCTCTTTGCTTTCCACAGTGCCACAGCACTGCAGCCAAGTGTATTTTCAGCAACCAAAACAATTCCAACTGTTTTCATTTTCCCAAACTATAAATGTTCTCTTTTAGAAAAAGCATTGCAAAGCTGTGAGATTACTGAGATCATTCTGTGAATGTGAAATCTTGAAAGACTTAGTTGTGGTTTAGAGATAAGGCACATTTCATTGACAATTATTTGGGGAATTTTCTTTTCTTTTACTAGCCAAGGATTCGATTCAACAATGCGGCCAGGAAATAATACGTCACACTCTTATCTGTGCTTGATGAGACTCTCCGTAAAGCATTTGCTGGAGATTTCTGGGCAGCATTAGATCTCTCTCTGTGTGTGTTTCCTTGTAGGCAGATACACACTGTCATGCT